TTCTTTCTTTCTTTCTTTCTTTCTTTCTTTCTTTCTTTCTTTTGTTCGTTCTTTCTTTCTTTCTTTTGTTCGTTCTTTCTTTCTTTCTTTTTCCTTTTCCTTCCTCCTTCCTCCTCCTCCTCCTCCTCCTCCTCCTCCTTTTCTTCTTCTCCTCCTCCTCCTCCTCCTCCTCCTCCTTCTCCTTCTTTTTCTCTCTCTTTCTCTCTCTCTTCTTTCTTCTTTCTTTCTTATTAGATTTATATGTCACCCATCTCACTATTGAAGCAACTCTGGCTCACTATCTTCCATCTTTAACACCCCCCCTTTTTTTCCTGCAAAAATATCACTAAGAGGAAAAGTTGGAATAGTTGCATGAGGATTTTGGATCGGCCAGGTTATTACTGCCCCGTCTAAATGCACTCCCCCCCACCCCCTGCAATAGTTAAACTTCGTATTATAATTCGAGAGGACAATGTTAAGATTGAGAACCATCTTACTGGGTTAAAATTAGTCTGGTCTCAAAGAATGCTAAAAGATTTCTTTCTCTCCCTTTAAAAAAAATAAATAGATCCTGATGCATTTCGAAGTGAAACCTGAAGAGGAGGGACAAATTGTAAGCCCCATGACACGGACCTTGCTTGTGCCAGACAAGGACATCAACTTGCAGTTTCTGAGTCGTTAAAAATCAGACAACACAAGGAAAAAACCATTGACTTAGGCTTCCTGTTGATGGGCAACCAGCACTTACTGTAGCCTTATTGTATACTGTAGAATCTGATAGCCGCAAGTGGAGCTACCTGTCTGAATTCTTGACGTTAGTTTGAAAGGACAAAAAGAGGGAGAAGACCCATGTTGATGAGCAAGGTTAGCTCCAGAGAAATCCTCCTTTGCAGTTTTGGGACATGGAGACTTCAAAATGACTCCTCCATCAAGAATATTTCCCAGTGTCCATCTAGGCTTTGAAAATGACCACAGAAACAATCCAAACCCCATTTCAAATCTCAGCTGCAACGATAACACAAGTCGCTAAAAGGCAATAGAGTACGGTTTCTTTAACTCAGGGTTTTGAATGAAAAGACTTTCCTGGGATTTGTAGCTGTAATCAGAACTCCTCTAAAACTCCCTTTTACAACCCTGTAATCCCTTAATTCGGCGTAGAATCGGGGTGACTGGATGGAACTGAGCATTTACTGGCCGGACGCCCTTCCTGATGCGCCATGTGGAGTTTGCAGCTTTATCTTTGTGCCCTAGGACAGAAACATCTGCTACCTAGGATTGAACTCTCAACCTTCTGAATGGGAGGCAAGCGTCTTCACCACTAAGCCATCATGCCGTAATCAGAACTTCTCTATTGCTGTGAAAACAGAGTGGATGTATCATATTTAGAACTTTGAGAATGGAACAGTTATGTATCTAAGTGCCTTATTATTATTATTGCTATGCTAATTTTTAATATTTAATGCATTTCTCAATGTATTTATATTTTTTCTAGCTTTTAATTTATAAATCCAGAAATGTTGGCATCAGAAGGTGTCAAAAAGAAAGAATCTTTATCTTTAAAAATGAAGTAAGGTTTTCTGTATTTTGAAATGGTTGTACTGAAGCTGTTTCTGTAATTATAATGGATTGAGTCCATTTGGTGCTATATTTATTTTTACCTTTGAATTAAATAATGAACTATGTTTTTTAAAAAATACAATACTGACTCTGCCTGTGCTTTAAGGTCAAAATAAATCAAAATTGGGTTGAGGGACCAGTCAGCGATTATCTACTCCCGTGCTACACATTTAAAGTTGCAACTAATGGAATCGTGCAATTCTGATTCTCCAAAGGTTATAACACAATATACACTCAGAATCAAAGAAAGCACCCACCACACCTCAAGTTGTAACTGCCACTCTTCTGGAGAGAAGCTAAGCTAGATAAACTGATTGTAAATCAGTTAAAGGCTTGAAATGATAAACATCCCTTTAAAAACATTTAAATTAGGGTGTCTAACCTTGGCAACTTTAAAACTTGTGGGCTGCAAATCTCAGAATTCCCCAGCCAACTATGCTATAACTCCACCTGAAGGGATGATGGGGAATATCCAAGAGAGGAGTAGACAACCTGAGTTACTCTCTTCGGATGGAAATCACCTAGAAAGCCAGGTGGTTCAGGTGTCATTGGATCAGGGCAGAAAATAATCCACTGCCCTTGAAAACTCTAGGATGTTGGCTCTCCCTCTCTCCCACCACCCTCCACTCTCTCTTCTGCCGGCTTTTCCATTCCTTTCAATCTTTCCACTGAACCTCAATGGCAAAACAGCCAATTGTGTCTCTATAGTAAACTTTAATCAACCGTCACAAGCTATCTATGCGGTGTTACCAGGGGTGGGATTCAAATTTCTTAACAACCAGTTCTGTGGGCGTGGCCGAATTTGTGGGTGTGGTTTGGGGTCATATGACTGGGTGGGCATGGCTTGTATGTAAATATTGTAAATATTGATGTAAATATTGATTTTTTTTTAAAAAAGAGCAACTTTTACCCAAAATCAGGCAAAGCGGGCAGGCCGATTGAGTTGCTTGCAGAATCACAGAGTCACTCACAGATCTACCTTTCTGCAATCTGCTGCCTGAGTCAGTGGCGCGATTTGCCGGTTCTCTGAACTGTGCAGAATCATAGCAAGTGGTTCTATAGAACTGGTCCGAACAGGTAGAATCCCACCCCTGGGTGTTACCTCTTTTTCATCCCTGGGGCCAGACAGGCAGACATCTGCCTCTTACTCCAAGTCTCCTTTCTTGAATGGTGGGCTTCTCACTGGGAACCACAAATACCAAACGCTAAAGGCCCCAAGGAGATGGGAAGAAGCCGGCAGCATTTTTACATGGAGTTCTATCCCCTTTCACACCGTTGTAGTTTTGACACAAAGAAAGATGTGTTTCTTTGCTCACCGTTTGCAGCCCATAATTTTTGAACCCCGGAAAGGTAATTTGAGCAGTGACTCAACGCTTCTGAACATTGGGAGTATATACGGTTATGAAAGATAAGCTGCTGCTTTTGGAAGCTAATGCGCAGCAACACGCACTTGCACACATCTTCTCATCTTCAACTACCCAGCACAGAGGTACTTTCTTCCCAGATCTTTTCATAGGATTTGAGATGCGAAGCCTTTCAAAAGCTATAAAGAATAATTGCAAAGTTCATCTCACAAGAATTCCTTCAGCTAGGCCCCGTCCCAGCAGCCTATTAGGAAGAAAATAGCCCACTGTTCCTTGACAAGAAAGCAGGGAAGGGATTGTGGGACTTTCCAACTGAAAAAGAAGCTGCAATAGCAACTCTGCCTATCGATTCTTTACAATGAAATCAGATTTAAAATAGGCCACATAAGTGTTGGTACATAAATCAAGGCAGGAGGAAAGCCCAATTAAAATGGCTTGCAATTATAAAAATGGCCCTGCAGGTTAATATGATGTACTGTATGTAATCTTATAATATTTAAATAGAATTGAATTTGGCCTATGTTTTTAAATAATTTGCCTGTTTTCCTGTATAGGTTTGATGAAGAGAGCAAAACAGAGTTCTATGTACAGTGCAATTCTGTGTGTAAGGACCAACTGCCATAGATTGATTGACTTCTTAAAATAAGGCTTCTGGGTCTGTGTAAACCAAGCTATGCAGAATGAAAGAAAAGTGATATATAACGAACCTTCAGTTAAGAATCGGGCAACTCTAAAGGACTCACGCAGGAGTGGGATGCAATTTTTTTAACAACTGGTTCTGTGGGCGTGGCTTAAGTTGATGGGCGTGGCTTGGTTGGCAGCCGTGGCTAGGTGGTCATGTGACTTGGTGGTCATGGCTATATGGTCATGTGACTGGAGTGGATGTGGCAAGTGGCCATGTGACTGGGTGGGCGTGGCCAGGTGGCCAGGTGACTGGCAAACCAAATACATGTGGTCCTCGCTTAATGGCCGATTGCTTAGCAAGTGTTCTAATTTATGACTGACCTCCCCAAAGCTACTTGACCTGTTTTTGGAGTTTTGACTGCCACGCACACACACACACACACACACACACACCCTTCTGTGTATTCAATTGGCATTCTGAGAGCCTGTTTTGGACACTCACAAAGTGATCGACTAATCTCATAGAAGCTGGACCCATGAGACAACAAGCACCATTTTCTCTCTTCAGAACCCACAGTCTACCCTTTTCTATTTTTTTGGAGGGGGGAAATTCTGGGATAGAACCATTACCATACAACAAGGGTCTTCAAACTTGGCAAGTTTAAAACTTGTGGACTTCAACTCCCAGAATTCCTGAGCTAACATGACTGGAGGAGGAATTCTGGGAGTTGAAGTCCACAAGTCTTAAAGCTGTCGAGTTTGAAGACCCCTGCTCAAGAACTTCTATGCGATTTTAAGAATGGATCTATGGAATCAATTTGGTGTCATAGAGCCAGTTTAGGGTAGTGGTACTGGGCTAGAAACCAGAGGACGGTGAGTAAAAGTCCCACCTTAGGCATGTGGGGGGCGGCTTTGGGCCAGACTCTGTCTCCTAGCCAAACCACTGGGGAAAAGAGGACGCAAGACTGTTTTAGGTATGTTTGCAACCATGAGTTGACTAGAACATAAAATAAAAAATTTAACAAGGAAAATCATTAGGGCCCAGGGACATGCATAAAATAATTTTGATCCACCCTTTCTAGATTTCTGGAAAGTAAAAACAAGGGATGGGAGAAGTGCTTTCAGGCTTGTACAATCCTTTGGTTATACAATAACTTTATCATAGAGGTAGTGATTGTATTCATTGACTTATTTGCTATGTAGACTACTGAGATGGTCTGTGTCATGGCCCAGTCAAATTCCAGGTCTGATTACTGACAGCTGGCTGCAGCCTTATTTAAGAAGCAGCTCTGAATCAAGCTCTCTTTGCTAGAAACATCTGGTTGTCTGACATCTGGCTTGGGTATGACATACATGATTCTACTCTTAAACCTCTGGCTTTGGACTGGCTGACAAACCTTAACCTCTGGCTCGATAACCCAGAGTGGCTTTAAACAAGTCTTCTGTGTGCTCCTATATCAAAACAAACTTTGCAGGCTTTGCTTTCATTCCTTTGCTTCATTGTTAACTCTTCAGCCTTGAAGTAAAACTGATAATCTTTCGAGAAACTGTGAGCGCGTGGATGTGGCTGAAACCCGGAGCAGGATAGGCTGACATCAATCCCTTTACTGGGGAGGGTCTCTTCTGAATTCCTTTCTCCATCCCCATTTCATCTTTTGTAGCTGAGATATCTCTTACCTGACCATTGCCTTGGCTGTCACTCTTCCTCCTGTCTCCCAGACCCAGAGGGAATCTACAATAACTCTCCATGGCCAACTTGCCACAGCCAACTTGCTGCAGGACAACTCATCGTGGGACAAGAGTTACACTCATATTGAAGAAATAGTGGAATAGAATCATTAAAGAAAAGTTGCTAAAGGAGGGACAAAATGAAATGTGAATGACAAAAAAATAAAATAATTTTGAACTTATTTTAAATAACTTGAATTGTTGAAATGTCCTGCAGTGAGTTGGCTGTGGCGAGTTGCCCCATTCCTTTCCCGGGGATACTTTCTCAGCCCAAAGCAGAAGAGTCCTTATGGTGGGACCTCAGTGTGCGAGTTCCTTTCCTGTGGAACAGCCTGGAGGACCATCCAAC